CTGTTGCCCAGGCTAAAGTGCTGTGGTGTCAGCCTAGCTCACAGCAACCTCAAACTCCTGGCTTCAAGCAATCCTCCTGTCTCAGACTCGTGAGGAGCCGGGCGTACAGGTGCCTGCCACAATGGCCAGCTAATTTTTCTGTTTGTTTTTTTTTTTAGACAGAGTTTTACTATGTTGCCCTCGATAGAGTGTCCTAGCATCACAGCTCACCATAACCTCAAGCTCTTGGACTCAAGTGATTCTCTTACTTCAGCCTCCCAAGTAGCTAGGACTATAGGTGCCTGCCACGATGCCCGGCTATTTTTTGTTGCAGTTGTTATTGTTGTTTAGCTGCCCTGGGCTGGCTTAGAGCCTGCCAGCCTTGGTGTATGTGGCTGGCACTGTAACCACGGTGCTACGGGTGCTGAGCCTAATTTTTCTATTTTTAATAGAGACAGAGTGTCACGCTTTTTCAGGCTGGTCTCAAACTCCTGACCTCAAGGGACTCTCCTGCCTTGACCTCTGAATGTGCTAATATTATAGGTGTGAGCTACCGCACCCAGAGTTTTTTAATATGGATGAAATGCATTTTGTATTTTGAGGGTTTTCTTTTGAAATAATTTCCAATTTCAAATTTACCGAAGATTTGCTCAAACTTCCGTTTGTCCTTTATCCAGATGCATCAACTGTTAAACATTTGTTCTCTCTGTATGCACATACATACGAATATATTACTATATGTGTATATATATGGATTATATATATATATTTGAATCATTGAGAGTAAATCGCTGACATGATAACCCTTTACGACTAAATATTAATTATAAATACTATAGTGTGTACCTCCTAAAAGCAAGGATTACAAAAGTTCAGTGAACAAATTCAGGAAGTTTGATTTCGGTACAATACTATTGTCAATCCATAGCTTACATTTGAATTTCACCCACGGTCCTAATAATGTCCTTTATGACAGTTTTTCCCCTCGATCCAGAATCCAGTCCCAGGTCACCTGTTGTATCCGGTTGTCCTATTTCTTTAGTCTCACTGGGGCTGGAACAATTCCTCAGACTTTCTTTGTCTTGACCTTTTTGTAGAATCCAGACCAGTACTTTTGTAGAATGTCCCTCGGTCTGGATATTTCCTTGATGAGATTCAGGTTGTGGGTTTGGGGCAGGAAAAGCAGAACAGCTGGGCAGCCAGTGTGGGTGGGTGGGATGCAGGGGCGAGGGGTGGTCAGAGGTAGCTCCTGGGATTCTAGTTTGGGAGAGACAGGATCCTGTACAGCCCTGGGTGGGAACAGTAGGTTCCGGGTGTGTGGGAGCCTTAGTGAGGCTTCTAGAGTGGAGGCAGTGGAGTGAGGTAGTGAGCGGAGGCAGCTTGGGGGTGGAGTGGAGGCAGCTTGGGGACAGGAGGTAGAATTGTGGGAGTCGAGTGCATCTGCTAGGTTATGTGGCCCTCTTCTGCTCTCTGTGTCTCTGACAATAGCCCCTCTATGTCCTCACCCACTCCCTGCTCTTCACCGTCCGTTCAGGCACGGTTACCTTCTGCCTTCTTCCTCCAGCCCTGCAGTGCAGATTTCCAGATGCAAACCCACTCTAGACACTGGGCCCGAGGGGACTTGGGCCAGGCTATTTGAAAGGCCAGCCCAGGACCTAGACCCAGCTGAGGCCTGCCCCACCCTGATGCCCACAGTGACTCTCCCACCCCCTATCGTCCCCCACAGGCTACTTCACCGCCCTCACCAGCCCCCAGAGCTACGAAACCCTGGAAGAGCTGGCTTCTGCCATAACTTGGAGCTCCAAGCAGCGGCCTGTTTACTTCATGTCAACCCAAAGAATTGTCACAGAGGCCAGGGTAGTGCCTGAGGACCAACTCCTCATTTTTGAGGCGGTGGAAATGTACCTCGGGACCCACTGTGCCCGCTGTGTCCTGGGACTGGGGAAGCAACAGGTCATCCTACACCTGCCCCTATCGCAGAAGGGGCCCTTCTGGAAGTGGGAGCCCAGTGCCCCTCGAACACTGCTCCAGACTCTGCAGGACCCTGCCCTGGGGGACCTCGTCTTCACCTGCCCCACCCTACCGTGGCAGTTCCTGGTCCTGAAGCCCCAGTATGAGATCCAAGCCATCATGCACAGTGAGTTGCCTGGACAGGTGGATAGGCGATGGGGGAGGGAAAGAGAGGCACCCAAGGAGCTGCTTTGATGGAAGACATCCCCATCCCCATGGGCAGCCTTAGAATTCAAGGTGACTTGCCAGCTTTTATGCTGAAGTTATTTTTATTGCTGCTCAGCTTTAGCCAATGGGAGCCTTTTCAAGTTCGTTCCTTCTTGAATCCTTTGACCTACCCGTGTGTTCTTGAGCAGATTTTCTTATCTAGAACGTTTCCTCCCCAGGAACTGAAGTTAGCTCTTTCCCAGGGAACTCTGTACCATTTTAGTGGGAAATGGTAGTGACAGACTACAATCTGGGGGGCAGGGGGGCCGAAGGTTTAATGGTGGGGGAGACTGGGTGTGGTGGCTCACACCTGTAATCTCAGCACTCTGAGTTCAAGGTGGGTAGATTGCCGGAGCTCACAGGTTCAAGACCAGCATGAGCAAGAGCCGAGACCCCCATCTTTAAAAATAGCTGGGCACTGTGGCAGCCACCTATAGTCCCAGCTACTTGGGAGACTAAGGCAAGAGAATCGCTTAGGAGAATCGCCAGGAGTTTGAGGTTACTGGGAACTATGATGCCACAGCACTCTACTGAGGGCAACAAAGTGAGATTCCGTAGTAAAAAAAAAAGAAAATGGTGGGTGGGGCTTTGGGAAGGCTGCCTGGGACAGTGAGACAGCACTGGTATCCATACGCCATTTGGAAGATGAAAACAGGACAGTGTACAGAACCCCCATGTGCCCAGCTTCCAGCTTCAACCAATTATCAGCTTAGGTGGCACAGAGCCAAATTCCCAATAATAGGACCTGAAGGAAGTCACCACCCCTCAAAGCCTCAGTGTTCTCATCTATCATATGGGGAGACTGTTCCCTGCCCTGCCTTCTGTCTGATGTGGATCAAACCACACAGTGGCTGGGCCAGTCCAGAGCCACCTCCTGAGTTGATCCTTCGGGATACTACTAATCAATGCTCGGAGAGGAAATAAATTGTCCAAGGTCCGTGTTTTTCTCAATTAGGTTTTAGTTCTCTCTTTAAACACAGAAAAGATTTGGAAAGGCACCTAGTAACATTATATTCAAAATCAAATTAAAATTTAAAAAGCGATTGAGCAGATTGGATATTCAATAGTAAGGAATTATCAAATAATTATTGTTTAGATACAGCAAGAACATTGTGGTTATTCTTTAAATAAAAAAAAAAATTTTGAGACAATCTTAACTCTGTTACCCTGGGTAGAGTGCTGTGACATCATAGCTCACAGCAACTTCAAACTCTTGGGCTCAAGAGATCCTCTGGCCTTCTGAGGACTATAGGTGCCCACCACAAAGCCTGGGTAGTTTTTCTATTTTTAGTAGAGATGGGGTCTCGATCTTGCTCAGGTTGGTCTTGAACTCCTGAGCTCAAGCGATCCACCTTAGCCTCCCAGAATGCTGGGATTATAGGCATGAGCAATTTTTAAATTATCCCCTCTTTCAGCAGGCCATGCTGACATAGCCACTCAAATCAGATGTAATTATTCTGATTTAGAATAATCCAGTGGAGAGGGAGTGGCTGGAGGTGTAGATGAAATAGATGGGCCATGAGTTAGATGTTGAAGCCGGGTGACAGGCATGTGGGAGTACGTTGTACTATTCTATTTTATACATGTTTCAAAAAAATTTTTGAAAGGTTAAAGGAAAAGAGTGGACGAACATCTGGTACAATAGGAAAATGCTGGTAAGGAAGAAAAGGTGAAAACAGGAACGAGGTCAGCAAGCCCAGATTAAGGCTGTTTGCGTGGGGGGTTGGGCACTGGGGAGGTGAGAGTCACACCCCTGAGCTGCTCCCTCTCCACAGTGCGCAGGACCATTGTTAAGATCCCCTCTACCCTGGAGGTCGATGTGGAGGATGTCACCGCCTCCACCCAGCACATCCATTTCATCAAACCGCTGCTGCTGAGCGAGGTCCTGGCCCGGGAAGGCCCCTTCCCCCTGGCCGTGGAGATCCTGGAAGTTCCAGAGGGGCCCCCCATCTTCCTCAGCCCATGGGCAAGGTCTTTGCGGAAAGGCCAGCAGCTTTGCATCCATGGCCTGGCCTCACCACCCTGGCGGGTCCTAGCCTCAAGCAAGGGCCGAAAAGTACCCAGACACTTCATGGTCTCCGGGACCTACCAGGGCAAGCTTCGAAGGCGGCCGAGGGAGTTCCCTACCGTCTATGACCTCCTGGGTGCTTTCCAGCCGGGCCAGCCACTCCGGGTGGTGGCCACAAAGGACTGTGAGGGTGAGAGGGAGGAGAATCCTGAGTTTACGTCTCTGGCTGTGGGTGATCGGCTGGAGGTGTTGGGGTCTGGCCAGATTAGTGGGACCCAAGGCTGCGACACAGACGTCTTGGTATGTCAGAGGCTTAGTGACCAGTCTGGGGAGGAAGAGTGTGAGGAGGCTGAGTGCCAAGAGCAGATTCTGCTGCCCTTGTACTTCTCTGGCAGCTTCGTGGAGGAGATGAATGACAGCCGGCGCTATAGCCTGGTGCATCTGACTGCCCAGTTCTCACTGCCTTGTGAGGTCAAGGTGGTGGCTAAGGATCCCAGCCACCCCACTGACCCTCTGGCCTCCTTCTTGGGCCTGCAGTTGGAGGAGAAGATCACAGAACCCTTCCTGCTGGTGAGCCTGGACTCCGAGGCTGGCCTGTGCTTTGAGATCCCTCCCCGGTGGCTGGACCTGACTATTGTGGAAGTCAAGGGGCAACGAGACTGGCCAGCTGGGTCCCTGCCTGTAGCCACAGTGGAGGAGCTGTCAGATGCCTTCTACTATCACCTTCGAAAGTTACCAGTCTGTGAGACCCAACGGCCCCCGCCCAGGCCCCCCAAAAGTCAGGGCCTCAGTGGGCGCAGGAGACAGAGCAGCGAGGAGGGAGGCACCAAGGTACCATGTAACAGAAATGGGCAGGGAGGGGGTCCCCTGTGGGGGTCATTGCCTCTTTGTCATGTTTCTCTTACAATCAGGTGTAACTTGCAATTTGTAACTAGCATACTTTTCACTCATTACTCTTCCTTGATGTTCACAACCCTGAGATTGGTGTGATTATCCATATTTTATGGGTGAGAAAATGAGGACTCAGAAACCCTGAGACTTGCCCATGGTCCCACTTGGTAAGTGGGAGGCAGGAACTTGAGCATAAACACTCCAAGTTCATGGTGTTCTTCGTCTCTTTGCTACCTCTGCTGCTCTTGCCAAGTTCAAGTCACATCATTTTTCGCCTAAACTATTTTAGCAGCCTCTTAGAAAGGCCAGAAGGGGGCGGTGCCTGTGGCTCAAAGGAGTAGGGCGCTGGCCCCATACGCCAGAGGTGGTGGGTTCAAACCCAGCCCTGGCCAAAAACTATTAAGAAAAAAAAATAGAAGAAAGAAATGCCAGAATGGCCTCCTAAATCATTCCGGGTCACTGATGGGTCTTGGCTCCATCTTCTGGAACTTTCTATGGCTCCCCATTGCCAGAGGATAATGCAAACCCCCCAATAGGCATCCAGATTCCTTTATAAGCTGATTCCAGTGCAGCCTCCTAGGCTGTCTTCCACCACCACATTCTGCAGTCCCTGCTCCAGCCAGAGAAGGTGACTCCTGCTTTGGTACTCACATGGCTGGCCGGCTGGGCCTTCTGCCACCAGTGTCCTTCCTCCTTTATGGTCACGGGCAGGGGGAAGCCCAGATTCCCCCTCAGCAAGGACAGTCCTGTTTCCTCTTCTGTACTTCTGCTGCACAGTGTCACTTGCAATTAGTCTTACTCGAGGGACTTTCTCTGGCTAGAGAGAGTTCTGTGGGGGCAGGAGCCTCACCTGCTCCAAGGCCAGTGATCATCTGCTGAACAGAGCCAAAGGGAATCACAGAGGGGGAAGAAGCGGGCATGCAGTCCCCACAAAAGGGTAGGCTTCATCCCACTTCACTCACTCTGTAGTCTGGGCAAGCAGCTCCCCCTCTGAGCATGTTTTCTCCGCAGCAAACCTGAGCTAATGTCACCCCCAGCACTCTTCTGCTAGCTGCTCCCTAGTGGGAGCTCACTCTGTGGCAGACCCTGACCTGCACTGTCCCGTTGGCTCGCAAGACACCTCTGAGGTAAACACTGATATTAAGAAAACAAGAGGCCCAGAGAGGCAAAGTAGTTTCCCAGCGATCACATGGCCAGCAAGTGGCAGGGCTGGGATTTGAAGCTGGGTCTGACCACACAGCCTGGGCGCCTAACTACTGTGTTCTGCTGAGGGTGGGAGGGGATGTGCTGGATAAAAAGCACTGTGGAAACTGTTACTACACATGTTCTAGGAGTGCGAGTGACTCTATCAGGATAGCTGTGGAAGCTGAAAGATGAATCCTGAGTAGTCTCAGTCCCAGAAGGGGCTGCTATCTGGGGTGGGACTAGAGCAGTCACTTCTAGACTGGGACATCTGGGGACAGTGTTGGGAAGAGCACAGCACAAGAATCAAGAGGCTTCAGCCTGAGTTTTAGCTGCTGAGGGAGGGACATTAGACCCTGTCAATGCTGTTGTCCCTGAATCAGTAACTTTTCCTCTCTGGGCATAGTATCGTCCACTGCTGACCAGCGGAGTGGCACCATTTGCTCTCTACAGCAGGGCCTGGTGCAGGCTTAGGGGCCTCAGGCATTCTGGGTCCAAACCTTCGCCCTGCTATAGACGCCCTGTATAAGGTTTGACAAGGCACGCTCTCTCATCATACATAAATTGGGCATTGAAATAACCATGCATGGCTTGGTACCTGTAGCTCAGCAGCTAGGGCGCCAGCCACATACACCAGAGCTGGCGGGTTCGAATCCAGCTCAGGCCTGCCAAATGACAATGACAACTATAACCATAAAAATAAATAAATAAATAAATAAATAAATAGCTGGGCATTGTGTTGGGCGCCTGTAGCCCCAGCTACTTGGGAGGCTGAGGTAAGAAAATCGCTTGAGCCCAAGAGTTGGAGGTTGCTGTGAGCTGTGATGCCACAGCACTCTACCCAGGGTGACATAGTGACTCTGTCTCAAAAAAAAAAGAAAGAAAGAAAGAAAGAATCACATAGAAGGTCACCCGAGGATTAAATGAGGAGATGTGCATATAATATCTAGCCATAGTAGGAATTCAGCAACAACCCGCTTCCTCCTGGGACCCCTCTCAGCTCTGCCATGAGGCTTTGTGGCTACTTTCTGAGCTGTCCCCACTTTAATTTTTCCTCTTCAGCCAGAGAATTAAGGCCCCAATAGAGCCCCTCTGTGGACACCCAGGGATACACATCTCCAGCCCCCCAACCCTTTTCTCATCTTCCAACTGGACTTTATTCTCCGTTGCCTAAGAATATTTCATGTGTTGGCCTGGTACCTGTAGCTCAGTGGTTAGGGCACCGGCCACATACCCGGGGGCTAGCAGGTTCGAACCTGGCCTGGGCCTGCTAAACAATGACAACTGTAACAACAACAACAAAATAGCCGGGTGTTGTGGCAGGGGCCCATAGTCCCAGCTGCTTGGGAGGCTAAGGCAAGAGAATTGCCTAAGCCCAAGAGTTTGAGGTTACTGTGAGCTGTGATGGCATTCTACCAAGGGTGACATAGACTCTGTCTCAAAAAGAAAAAAAGGCTCAGCGCCCATAGCACAGTGGTTACAGCACCAGCCACATACATTGAGGGTGGCGAGTTCAAACCCAGTCCAGGTCAACTAAACAACTGCAACAAAAGAATAGCCAGGCGTTGTGGTAGGCACTATAGTCCCAGCTACATGGGAGGCTGAGGCAAGAGAATCACTTAAGCCCAAGAGTTTGAGGTTGCTGTTTGCCGTGATGCCACAGCACTCTACCGAGGGCGACATAATGACACTCTATCTCAAAAAAACCCCAAAACCAAAAAAACATAAATGCATCAATGAACACAGTTATGATTCAATAAAAACAAAATATAAAAATAAAATTTCAAAAAAAAAAAGAATATTTCATATGCTTATAGCAAAATCACCTGGGTCCTTAGAGGTCCTGCCCTGAAAAGGAAATAGAGAGGGAAGCAGAGGAAGTGACATTTTAAGTGAATTACATTTCATGGACTGTATGTGCCCAATTCTGGGGACCCTGCTGATTTCTGTTCTTTTTCTCCAAAGTCTTCTCAAATCCCAGAAGTACAGGAACCTCCTCTGCTGCCCAAACCTGAAGTGAAGACATCACCAAAGTGCACCAAGGACATCTCCAATACGTACAGCAAGATTCCTGCCTCTAAGAGTGGCCGAAGGTCCAAAACACAGCATGTGGGTGAGTCCCTGCCGGGCCCCACTCACCCTTGGCCTTGCTTCTCCCCTCCCTCCTCTCTCCTTTTCTGTTTCTTTCCCCTCTGACTGCCCTGCCCATCAGAAGAACCCTGTGTGGTCTGTGTGGACCGGCCTATATGGGCTGGGCTCAGGTGGAAAGATCCCAGTTGTCTCTCTCTCATGGGCTCTAGAGCCCTGGCAAGAAAAGTAACTTTAGTCCCCAACACATTACCCTCCCTGCGACATACAGGACAATGAAATGGTTACAAAGTGTTGAAACAGAACAAATAGTGGTTTCTGGGCTAGCAAAGACCTTAAAGCATCCAGGCCAACTCCTTCCCTATATAGGTGAGGAAACTACCCTAAACTGAGGAAGGAACTTGCCTAAGCCAAAGATCCTCATTGACTCTTTTTTTGTTTGTTTTTGTAGAGACCAGGTCTCACTATATTGATCAGTCTGGTCTCAAATTCGTGGCCTCAAGTGATCCTCCTGCTTCGGCTTCCCAAAGAGTGAGAGTTACCAGTGGGAGCCACCGCACCCAGCCCTTCATTGACTCTTTTGCAGATGAAGATGAACATGATTATGAAGAAGTAATTGAGCACTTTAGGAAAACCATGTAGGTTTTGGAGTAAACCATGCTTCCTAACTGCTGCTTCTCAGGGAATCTGAAACACCAGCCAACCCTTACAAGCTTCTAAAAGGGCCTGGGCAAGGACTCACAGAAATCAGACTGCAACAGGGAATGGCTCTGTGGGGACTGATTCAAAATAGGGCAGCTTCCTTCAGGTTCTAAGCTCCTGTCACTGAGGGTGCCTTTCCTGGGCCCAGCACCCGGCACATGGTATACAGAGGAACCAGTGGAGTTGCACTCAATTCTGCATCCCGACCAGTGGTCCCAGAGAGGAGTCAAAGAGGCCACCAAACTTGGGGATGGCAGCACATTGCCATCTGCCTCTCGATAAAGGAGCTTCAGTCTTGATCACACTGCACTGACAAACTTTTTAAAATGTTTGCCACTCCCCCCTTTTCCTCCCTCCTGCTTCCACCTGCCCACCAAGCTTTAACGCCTGTGAGACCGGAATTGTGTCTTCCTGGTCACTGAATCACCTAGCATATGGGGGCTGCAGGGGGGAGCCTGGCTTCAAGAGCAGAAAATTAGTGAAATGAGGGAAGCCAGTTGAAGACCTTTGTGGAGACCCCAGGTTGCAAAAAACTGGTAGGTTTCATCAGATGGTGCTAAGATATTGTCAAAGTTGTAAGTGACTATCCAAGATCATTTCATTCTAAAGGCACAAAATAAAAATGACATTGCCAAGTGCAGTGGTATGTATCTATAGTCCCAGCTACCCGAGAGGTTAAGATGGGAGGATGGCTTGAACCCAGAAGTTCAAGACTAGCCCAGACAACATCACCTCAAGAACTTAGTTCCCAAGTATTTAGTGGTTTTCTGGACATATATATATATAAACAACTGAGCTTCTGTATCAGTGGTTCTCAACCTTCCTAATTCCGCGACCCTTTAATACAGTTCCTCGTGTTGTGGTGACCCCCAACCATAAAATTATTATTATTATTATTATTATTTTTGAGACAGAGTCTCAAGCTGTCCCCCTGGGTAGAGTGCCCTGGCATCACAGCTCACAGCAACCTCCAACTCCTGGGCTCAACCTCCAACTCCTGGTCCCTCCCAAGTAGCCAGGACCACAGGCGCCCGCCACAGCGCCCAGCTATTTTTTGGTTGCAGCCGTCATTGTTGTTTGGTGGGCCAGGCTGGATTTGAACCTGCCACCTTAGGTGTATATGGCTGGCGCCTTAGCCACTTGAGCCACAGGCGCCGAGCCCATAAAATTATTTTTGTTGCTACTTCATAACTGCAATTTTGCTACTGTTATGAATCGTAATGTAAATATCTGATATTAGGCAACCCAAGAACCGCTGTTCTATGTGAATGATAACAGACCATTTATTAAGTTCTAGCTGTGTGCCAGACTCTTTACAAATCATATTCAAGTCCTTAATTCCTGGTGGCACCTGGGGCTCAAAGGAGTAGGGCACCAGCCCCATATACCGGAGGTGGCAGGTTCAAACCCAGCCCCAGCCAAAAACTGCAAAAAAAAAAAAAAAAAAGCCCTTACTTCTTGGGGTAGACAATGGCTGATCTTAAAGACTGGGGGACAGGCTGACTACTGCAGTGGTGAAGGGTGAGGACTGGCAAGGCATGAGGACCCCAGCTTGTCACCCTCCTGCTGGGATTCTGAGCAAGTTATTTTAACTTCGCTAAGCTTCAGTTTCAAGAAACAGAACGGGGGCCAGGCCAAAGTTGACATGTTAAATGAAACTGATAGTCATCTACCTCACAAGATTGTTTTAAAGGGCAGAGATAATCTTTGGAAAGCATTTAACACAGTGCTTAGCACATAGTAAATAATAAACATGTTGGTATCATTATTATTGACCAAGACCACGTATGTAGTGGTAGTCTAAACTCTTTCCACACCTCCACAATGTTTCTGTCATGAGATTCATCCCATGAATCTCACTAGAAGTGGAAAATATACCACTTTCCTAGACTGCAGAGACTCTCACTAGAAAGCCTGGCTGTCTAGCGTAGTGGAGATAAGAGGACAAACCCAAGCTTTTGTCCATGCGAAGAGTAATTCAGCTCTTAGGGTCAGCCTAGGACCATTCATTGAGGCAAGACCTTGGGCTGCATTTCCTGGAAGTGGTGGGGCTTTGGTTTGTGGACTGATCCAGTCATAGAACTAGGCACCATGGTTAGCAGAGAAGATAAGAAATGGACAGAAAGATGAGCTAAGTAACTGAGGTAGGAGCCGCAATCCAGCGCCTGGTTTTTAGGCACTATACTTGGGTATGTTCTTCCCTCGCCTGACATCTCTCTGGGCTACCTGGAGCCACTGCATTTGCCAGGCCTTGGAGCCTCCACACTCCAGCATGGAGATCTCCAGGTGACTGCTGAGCGGATTCTATAATGTGTGGCCCTCCTGACCAGCTCACCAATTCTCACGCCCTCCTCCAGACAGCTCACTCCACACTGCACATTTCACTGAGAAAGAGGGTACTGTGGGGAGAAGGGATGAGCAAGAAAGTGAGATAAAGTTCCTTCCTCCTTGGCACTAATTCTCACTTCCACATTTGCTTTAACCTTGGCACAAAATTGAGCAAGATCAGCAACAAAACCACAAAGAGAGGCAGGAGAGAGGGCGACCAGTTCCTGCAAAATGGGCTTTCTGAGTAGCCAAATGCTTCAAGAATAAAAAAGCAACAATCTCAGAGCAGCAAAAGCTGAACTGAGGAAGGCATGTTTGAAAAACCACAACTGTGAATGTTTTCTTACCAGAGCAATGAGGGGTGGCAAGAAATGGACCAGAGGCAGAAGATGCTAGTCTCAGGGTACTTTTGTTTTCTTTAGCCTTTGAATAAAACAACGGGTAGAGGGGAGGGTGATATGATAGGGCTTGGGATTCCCCTGAGCAGTGGTCTCCAAAATGAGGAGCACTGATTGCTGAGTGTACACAAGACGACCCACTGGGAAACAAAATAATTATTGGTATGTAATGTATACTAGAGAGAGAGAGACAGGGACTCACTTTGTTGCCCTGGGTAAAGTGCCGTGGCACCATCATAGCTCATAGCAACCTCAAACTCTTGGGGAATCCTCTTGCCTCAGCCTTCTGAGTAGCTGGGACTCCAGGTACCCACCACATACCTGGCTAGTTTTTTTATTTTTAATAGAGATGGGGTCTCACTCTTGCTCAGGCTGGTCCCAAGCTCCAGAGCTCAAGCAATCCACCTGCCTCAGCCTCCCAGAGTGCTGGGATTATAGGTGTGAGCC